TAAACAGCCGACGAATTGATTTCTAGTTTAGTAATTTGAGAATTTGACCAAGTTACATTAGAAACTGGACTAAGTGACCTTCATGAACATTGTAGCCCTGTGTCTTAGCTTCGAAACGGCATAAGTTGCGTCTTAATCCGATAAGCGTAGCCTCGGATAAGTTATTTCCGCTTTCATACGTCAAATCTGTCTTTTGCTAAATTGAATTTCTGCACTTGTTATTTCTGTATTTCTTATTCTTATGATATTGTGAGCCTATGGAACGGATCTTGACTTGAATTGCTTATGTGTGATGTTGGATTGTGGTTGAGGAAAAATAATGAAACCAAAATGGCTGGAAAATTAGGTAAACACAAAGGGCATGCTGCCCAAATTTTCGCCCGAAAGCTAAGGTTTATTTGAACTTGTAAAATACTATGACCGTTTTTCCATCTTAAAAACATGATCCTTCTTCAATTGGAAACTCCAAATGTTTACTTACTCTTACCAAATAAAGAGGAGTAGTTTAGGATTTTCTTGAGTATTTTGTCCTCTCTTTTTCATGAATTTCATTAAGACAATTAGTCTATAATATCTACTTGAATATAAGATAAGTTTCAACCACATAAACGATTCCGAAAATGGTATTTCCTAGTCTATCTAGTTGGATTTTGATTTGTCTTTAGTTCAAGTGTTTCCATTAGAAAATTTTATAACCCTTTTGAGTTGGTTTTATGTGTGGTCTATGAAACCCTAGTTATTTTTATCCACGAGTCCAAATGTCCACGTTCCACTTTAAAGTCTTTTTATACGTTCTACTCATCATGCGACGAGTCTCTTTGATTGCACCTAATTGGTTGTGACAAATGAGTGGTAATATTCTTTTCATTTAATCTTAGGTTTTCTCGGTGACTAAAGATAATATCCGGAAGGATATTTTGCACGTTGTTGTGCGTAAATAGGTGAGTGTTCTATATACGTTTTGTTCCTATGACTATGTGGATTGTTGGATCTATGTGGTTATTTGTGACTATTTGATTACATGTTACTTGTTTTCTATGATTTTTAAAATGAACTTTTGCTAGGTGAGTGTGTACTTTATCGCACTCGACCTAAATAAATATGAAATTTTCGGTGATTAAATGTTGAAATACTAGTTGCGCATGAATGTAAGCCTTTTGGCTGAACTGGGCCCTTGCCCTTGTTACCGGTCGTCTCGAGCCAGAAGCGGACTCGGTCGAGCGATTAGGAACCTGGGTGAATTTGGTATACTCGAGTATTACCTTGTAGACCGGCCATGTCCGGGTAGGTGGAGTCCGGCCAACGTCCGGATGGGTGGAGTCCGGCCAACGTCCGGAAAGGGATGAATGAACGAACGCAGGCACGAGGGTTTTACTTCTCAAAAAGGAAATTTTCAAATAATTGGAGGAATAAGGGGAAATGTCAGGGGAACGAACGAACGAACAAAGAGCTCCTTGGGAGCCCGTATCCTTTTAATGAATGCATTATCATTGCTTTATATTGGACATGTTTTCTGGATTAATTGTTATTACATGACTACTGTTCCTTGTTTAATTACTTGTTTATATATATAGAACCTCACTGGGCTTTTTAGCTCATACCACGTCAATTGTTTTCCTTAGCAGGGGAAGGCGAGCAAGGACGAGCGTTCGGTATAGTCTAGTTGATCTAGTTCTTTGGCCTTGTAATGGTTCTCGCCCTAGTGCTTGGCACGGGCTGGTTGTATGAGGAATGAGAACCCTTGTATATTCGATGGTTGTACTTGAATGGTAAAAACTTTGAAGACTTCTGGTGTGTAGAAGTTTCTTATCTCTTACTTGAGCATCTATTGTCTATGGATGTATATACATGATTCGAGTTCCATAGTGAGTGAGTCCTGGCGAGAGCTGGGCAGGCGATCCGCCGAACCCTTTGGTACGCCTTAGGGGGAGGTGGGGTCGTCACAGTTTTCCTTAACAGGGGAAGGCATGCAAGGACGAGAGCCTGTATAGACTAGCTGGGTCTAGCTCTTGGTTTTCTTTTGTTATAGTTCTCGCCCTAGCTTTTGGCAAGGGTCGGATGTATGAAGTATCGAGAACTTTTGTACCTTTGTTTTGTAAGTCCTTTGAGATTGGAATGTATATAAGTTCTACTTTAAGTTTTGGATTCGTGTCCCATGTACTCCTGTGGTAATGAATTGGATCCTGGTCTGCTCTTTATTGAGGTTTTATTTCTGATTTGTTTGAGTGAACGACTGAGTCCCGGCGAGAGCTGGGCAGGCGGTCCGCCGAACCCTTTGGTTCGCCTTAGGGGAAAGTGGGGCCGTTACATTCAGCCCCTATATCTCGTTTCTTCCTTCTGCTCTCCTCAATAAGTTTGAAAAGCCTTCTGAGCAAATTAAGAAAAGGTAGGGAGACAGAGGATCTCCCTACCTTATTCCTCTCCCTGGTGTGATGAATCCTTTGATTTCTCCACTGCATTTGAAAGAATAAGTAACAGTTTGCATGCACTTAGAAATCCAGTTAATCCATTGTGAACAGAAACCCATCTTCTGCATAGCTGCCTGCAAAAAATGCCACTCAACCCTGTCGTAAGCTTTAGCCATGTCCAATTTGATAGCCATGTATCCATCTAGTCCATGTCTTTTATTTTTGAGGTAGTGCATATACTCGTGAGTTATGATCACATTGTGTAGAATTTGCCTATCGGGAATGAAAGCTGATTGTGTATTACTAATGCAAATGTCTAGAATAGGCTTTAGCCTATTAGCCAGGATTTTGGAGATAATTTTGTAAATCACACTGCACAGGCTAATGGGCCTAAAGTTTTTCAGGCAGGTAGGATTCAGCATTTTAGGAATAAGGGATATGACTGTGTGGTTAACCGATCTAAGCATATGACCAGTATGAAAGAAGGAAAGTATAGCAGGAATAACATCTCCTTTAACAATGGTCCAGAATCTTTGAAAGAACAGGGGAGACATTCCATCCTGTCCAGGAGCTTTCTCAGGCTGCATGGAAAAAAGTGCTTTTCTGATTTCTTCCTCTTCTATTGGTTTAGTAAGCTTATCATTCATTTCTTGAGTTATGGAATGGGAAATACCCTCCAGGACCTCTGACATATCCCTCCTGCCTCCACTAGTGAAGAGATCTTTAAAGTATTCTGAAATTTCTGCAACTACCTCATCCTCATTCTCAGTCCATGGGCCATTTTCCTTCTGCAGCTTTCTGATTCTATTAGTAGATCTCCTCCCCTTGACATGAGCATGGAAGTACTTGGTGTTCTTGTCACCTTCTCTTAGCCAGTTGAATCTGGCTTTTTGACTCCAGAAGTTTTCTTCCTCCGTATAGGCTTCTTTAAGCTGATTCTTAAGCTTAGCAACTACCCCTTTCCTGTTCTCACAATCAGAGTTTTTCACCCTTTCCAGCTCCTTTTTTATCTCCTCTATCCTACTTTTGGAGTTGGCTTTGAAAGTATTTCTCCACTTCAAAAGTTCAATCCTACAGTTTCTAATCTTTTTAGTAACTTTAAACATACGGGATCCAACTTCCTCCTTTTGCCAAGCTCTTTCCACTACCTTGTACACCTCTTCCCTTTGAAGCCATCTTTTATCAAAGTAAAACCTCCTCTTCTTTTTTCCCACTTCTGTACAAGTGTTTAAGCTTAACATACTATGATCTGAGGCATAAGTGTCAATGTGCTGACAACTTGCCTTGTCAAAAGTCTGGTACCACTCAATGCTTCCCAAGCATCTGTCCAATCTTTGCCTAACCTCCCCCTCATTATCCCAGTGGTTACTCCAAGTCCAGGGGTGACCTTCAAAGCCTATGTCAACCAGATTATTGAGATCCAGGAACTCCTTAAAATCTCTGAAGCTCCTCTCTTCTCTAGCCAGACCACCCCACTTTTCCTCATTAGAAAGAATATCATTGAAATCCCCTGCAAGCCAAAATCTGCTTCCCCACAGTCTACTTCTCTCATGAAGAACCTTCCATTGATTCTTCCTGATATTAGCATCACAGCTCGCATAAACTCCTATAAACCACCATGTACACTTGAGGTCCAAGTCCTCAATCTTGGCTTCTATGGTAAAGGCTGTCTGCAAAACCTCTACCACCTGAGTGTCTTCCTTCCACAACAAGGCCATGCCACCAGCCTTGTGCATAGCCTCCACCACAACACTGTTATCAAATCTAAGACACCTAGCTATCCTATCAACAACCTGTTTCCTATTCTTGGTTTCACTCAAGAAGATCAGGTTTGGAGAGAGGACGTTATTTACCTCCCTCAGATGGGGAACTGTCAAGGGGCTCCCCACACCTTGACAGTTCCACACCAAGGCTCTCATAATTGCATGGGGGCCCCATTAAGGATGGCCCCCACCTCCTCTCCTTTCCTCTCTATCTGGATAGTCTCCAACTCAGATTTGGTCTTTTTACAAACAAACTGTTGCTGCTGCAAATCCTCCATCTCCTCATCACAAGGCAGCACCTTCCTTTTACCATTTCCTATAAGACTAGGCTCCTGATTATTCAACTCCTTTAAGGCCCTTCTAGTAACCACAGGATTCTTTAGCTTTTTATATGACCTATTAATCTGTTTCTTAGCCTCCTCCTGGACCTTACTAGTAACCAGGAGCTCTTTCTGAATATCTGTTTCCCCACCACTATGCTCCTGAGTCCTATCTGCTGGGTCTAACCCTGATGAAATCATGTCAAAGTCCTCCTCCCTCACTTCCACCCTAGCTGGCTCTTTCCACTCTCCCCCCGGGCTTGACCAGTCATACAAGTTCCTGGATTACCCTCAACAAGTTGCTGATCACCAGCATCAGGGCCTCTAACAACAGTGCTATTATCCAGACTCGTGGATGTGCCACTAAAGGAGATCCCCAAGCTCTTACCCTCCCTTTCCTTATCCATAAGTTGTTTAGTTCTATTTTCCTTATCTACATTCTCAAGGAACTCCAACAGTCTCTCCTCTGCTTGAGACCTACTCCTCTCCCTCTCGACCATCTCTCCATCCTAAAATCTCCAGTACCTTTTGTCCTTACTCAGCTCAGGTTTCAAAGGTCTTTCCTTACTAGGACTTTTGGTGTTCCCTGCTCTCATCCAAGGGCCATATTGGTTTTCTGAGAGCCTAGCCATCATAACTCTCTGTTCTTTACAGGATCTTTCACTATGACCTACAACACCACAATTATAACAAAAGTCTGGGCATCTCTCGTACTTAAACACTACCCATTTCAACTTTCCTGCTGTTTGAACCACTGTGCCTCTAAGGAGAGGTACAGATAGGTCTACAAGGGCCAGGATTTTGAGGTGTCTACCCTCTTTTCCCCCAGATTGAGGGACAATAACTTCTTTCACTCCCTTAAACACAGCCCCAATCTTCCTACCCACCTCCTTAGTTAACCAATGCACAGGCAAATCCCAAAGTTGCACCCACAGAGGTGCGATGGTAAAGTCTCCATAATTTCCTTCTATCCCCTCTGACCACCTCCTAATAACCAACACTTGGTTGTCTATCACCCACGGGCCCCCTTCCACAATCCTTTCTTTTTCTTTTAGACTAGGGATGTTAAACTGGAATAAATTGGGCCCTAGTTCCATAACTGTCAAGTTTTTGGGATAGCTCCAAGCAGCGGCAACAAAATTCTTCACCCCTGTAAAATTCGCAACTTTTTCCCCCATAATTCTACCTATCAAACTTCCTTCACATTCTTTAATTCCACTGTTGAGGTCCTCTAGATTCAGAATAGCTCCTGAAAGCTCATTTCCAGCTAAAGAAAATTTCTGCAACAGCTCGGTTAAATCCCCCTCCATAGATACAGCCAGAGGTTCCAAAAGGTATGACCTTTCCACTCCACAAAAGACAAGAGCTTAAAGTCTACCAACAGAAGAAAAATACCCACAAGAACCGACAGGAAGGGGACAACAACAAACAAAGATGACCAGAAAGACACTACCTCAAGAAAAAGACAGATAGATAAATACGTGGAAATCAAGTTAACAAGCTTTTAGCTTACCATGGCCCAAGGCATTTGTGTCGTTTATGCTTCCTTTGGTCGGACCACCTTTATTGACATGGACCATAGCATTTATGGTGCTTCCTGCTTCCTTTGGTCGGACATTCTTAGTAAACTAGTAAGAATAATAGTACTGTAATAACTCTGCATTGGATTCAGGTATATTGGATTCTGGTGTTTGATTGTTTTCCTGGAAAAAGAGTAGCGGGAAAATGTGTTTTTTTGAAAAAGTTTTGAGCTTGCTGAAGATCCCACCACTGGGGGGAGAAAGGTTCTAATCCCAAGAGAGAGAAAAAGTTCCCTCTACACGGAGAGGATTTACTGTTACGAAATTTAGTGTATAAAACATATCATAATTGACTTGTGCTCAAATTGATTAAACTCCCTCGTGAATCTTACTTGATTTGAATTTTGAAAAGATTCTTCTAATTTATTTGTTTTGTTGGCATGAGACTTCAATTAATCATTTTTACTATTTGGAATTCTTGTGAATAAGCAAGCATCTTGGTGTCTGAAAGATAATATTTTCCAATTCACTTTTGTTACTGACGTGCGTAGGGTATACATATAACATTAAGCTCATCCTAATCAAATTTTACATTTATAAACTCCAAAATACCCCACACGCGATTTATCGCAAGTATACGAATCGTGAGCGAGTATAGGGTATTAAGGGTCGATCCTACAAGGAAGATTGCAATTACCGGCACTACTAAAGCTTCTCTATTATTAAGACTATCAATGAATTATAACAAGTAAAACCTACTGAACTTATGCAAGAAAATAACAAATGAAAGCTCCTTAGGTTGTGGTATCCCTAACTACTCATGCAAGTGCTATATTTGGATCATTGAATACTACTATCTAGGCTAGTTATGGTGTAATTTCCTCATGCATATGAAACCTACTTTCGTAGTGAATCAATTATATTCATAACTAATCTATACCTATTCTCATGGTTATAAAATTAGCTACAAGTTCATTTCTTCAGTGAAATTACATGAAATCAATCACTAAAACCACATAGGTGCACCTCAACTCTCGTGAGTGTACTCCCTATGTTTAGCACTTCTTGAACCAGTGTTAAATCTCAATTTTCATTGCAGAAACAACACCTTAGATAATCTGTGAGACCCCGGTCAGTGCTTAAGTTTGATATTAGGTTATATTCATTATTTGTGCGGTAACATTAGGTTTTGGGATTAATTCGAAAATTCTAAGTTGGGGTTAGGATTGAAACCCTAGTTTTTATATTAATCATAAGTTCGAGTGGTGGTTAAAGTTAGTTATGCTAGTGTGTGTTTTAGTGTGGGTAAGTATAGGATTTGATCCATTTTATATAGGTCAAATAAGTTTAAGAAGGTTAGAAACCCTAAATGAGTAAAACCTGTAGTGTTATGATTTATTAGAAGTTTTAAGTTGGGTTTAAACCCTAATTTTGCCCTTGACAAAAAGGTTATTGTTTAATTGCTTTTATGTGGGATAAAGTATGTTTAAGTATAGGTGATTAATGTAGGAGGGTGATTAGTAAAGTAATTAAGTGTAGTCAAGTGTTTTGGATTAGATTAAGTTAGTAGCCTATGGAGTTAATTGAAAGATTATAAATGTTTGAGGGGAAAAGGAGTAAGAAAGAGAAAATAAATGTTTAAGGGCTAGAGTTGATTTAATGTAAAGTTGGAGTGCAAGGGGTTAAAAGGGCAATTAAGGAACTTTTATGTGATTGGTTAGGATGGAAAATATCCTCCATGGCTTTGACTTATATGTATCATCTTCTTATGCAAGATAATCATAAGAAACAAAACAAAATAAGCTAAAGAGAAAGAGAGAGTGAGAGGCCGAGAGAGAGAGAGCAAGAGAGCAAGAGAGAAAGGGAAAGTTCTTCCAAGTTCAATTTCTTCTAGCTTCCATCTTGGTCTTGGAGTGTAAGACGACATCTTTGCTACTTGATTGTTGTGGGTTAATCATCAATTAGGTTGGATTGAAGGTAAATCATTTGATTTGAAAGATAACTCTTGGTGATTAAGTCTTGAACCATGAAAGTGATGCTTTTGTTGTGATTATGCATTTTTATGGGTTGTATGATGATTATGGAATAGTTTTATGGTTTATTTTGATGGTTATATTGCTGATTTTGGTAAAGGCTAGGAGGAAAAGATAGGGTTTCTTGATTCATGATTTGTAGAGTTGGTTTGGTTGGATTTTGGCTTGTTAATGGCATCTTTGATGTATTGATTTCACTTGTATGGTTGGCAAGTAGTAAATTCCAGATTTGTCATGAAACCCTAATTCAAAGGAAAGTTAGTTTGGTTGGGTTAGGGCTTAAGTGATTAGAGTTTGGTTGATTAGGTGGTGAAACTAGTAAAGTTAGTAGGATTAGCATCTAGATTATGGTTAGTATTGGGTAAGTCTTGGGATTAATTGGGGAAAAGGAATTTCGGTTTTCTTGTAGGGCAAATAGGAGGTGATTTATGTGTGTTTATTTGGTATGAGTTTGCTTGGAAAACTTGTATAAGAATCGTAGCAACGGACCATGCGTTTGCGATGTTTGAAACCGGCAAAACTGGAACAGGACAATCCACAAATCCGAACTTAAGTCCTGTTTTTCTTTATGCTACGTGCTGATTCAGAAGTTTCTCAAAACATCAAAGTTGTAGCTTCTTGAGTCCTTAAGGTGCCTGCATAATTTCAGGTCAAAAGGATCATTGTAACCCGAGTTATAGCCAAAACACTTGCACCTATTTTAAGCACTGGATTGTGTTACGTTTTTGAATTTTGCTTCTGACCATGTTTTGTCCGTCTTGATAACGTGGGAACTGTGATACGAAATATGGGCCGCTTATGGGCCATGTTTCGAGCTGCAAGAGAATGAATCTTTTAGTAATAGTTTAGTAGTTTATTTTTCAGATTTCTATTTTATTTGGTAGGAATAAGTTCGGTCCAAGGCCTCATGTTGAGTTGGATCCGATTTATAGAGTCTAGGCTCACTATTACTTAAGTTGGTTAATTAGTTTTTATTGGGTTATGTTGGGCAGGTTGTGATTCTTGATTCCCAACAATTAGAGCTCAAAGATCAGGTATGTTTCAATGTCACGCGCAAGAAAGTTTCAAGAATTCAAGATCAAACCACAATTTCCAGCAAATAACTTCAAGAATATCAAGGCTAATTTCCAGATTTCAAGAATATCCAGAATCCCTTCAAGATCTTCGTGAAACCAGCAAATTTGGCGCAAGAATTTCAAGAACAAGGTACCAATACTTTCCTAGATGATAAGCAACTCAAGAAAAACGACATGAACAGATTTGGAAACAACTAAAACTCAACAAGAAAGACGAACAGATTTTTGGAAACTATCGAAACTCAGCAAGAAAGAATGAACAGATTTCTTCTTCTTTTTTTTTTTACACCCAACGATGTAACTACCAAACAAACAACCTAAGAACAACACAAATAATTCCCAGAATTTCCAGAAATTAAAAGCGGCACAAGAAAGTCACAAAACACTGATGGGCAAAATTTTTTTGCAAAGAATAAGACTGGCGGTCAGTTTGCATGTGGTTGCGGACAGTTTGCAGACTTGAAAACACTGCCGACCAGACTTGAAAACAAAGAAGACTCAGACCCCACACGATGTTCCTGGGTTGTTTGTACACGACTCAAACAACACACGACCCCACACGCATGAAACCAGCAACGAGACAGAAACTAGAGTCAATGAAATTCCAACAACCTGATTCAAGGCTACTTGGTGCGACTCTCCCTTTTTTTTTTGGCCTCTTTTTTTTTCGTTTTTGAGCAGGACACGAGGACAGCAAGGAACAACGATTCTAGACACAATAAACAACAACAAAATGTGGTGACACAAAACTGAAGACTAACGTGAGACACGATGCACACAACCTGGAAAATTGCGGGCAGCAATGGAAAAGACAAGGAACAAAAGGATTAGATACTGTTTTTTTTTTATTTGATTACTTCAAGATCCAAACTCACTGAACTATGTCACAACTAAAGGATAAGAGTCGCAGCAACAACACAAGAAAATAACATGGACAGGAATGGGAAAAATTGCGGACAGCCAAGGTAAAAAGAAAACTAGCGATTGGAATTTTTTTTTTGAAACTAACGAGACAGACCGAATTAAGACACCAAAGAGAGGGATAAACGATGTTACCAACAAGCTAGCTCTGATGCCAGCTGATACGAATCTCGTTGGTGAGAAGATTCGCGACCCAAGATCACTTGTTGGATTTGACTTCGAACGCAAGAAACGATAGCAGCGGAAACCCTACGACCCCTCTAATCCCCGTGACTACGAACTTGTTGATATTATCTCAACCCATAATCAGACGAATTAGCGAACCTCAGGCAAGTGCAGAAGGCGCCACAATTCAAGTGCGATTCTTGAATCGATAAGCCGAACAAGAACACTAGAGTATAACTCTAAGTTGTTCAAGGGTTGCTCGAAAGCGATGGAGAAAATTCTCTCAAGTATTTTATGATAAAGGTGTCTAACCCTTAAATTATCAAAGCTTGACTATTTATAGCCTTACAAAGAAGCAAACCTAATCTAAGTTGGAAACAATGCAAGTTTCCTTATTCGATTTGACAACTAAACTAACGACTCGCTAATCGTAGATAGGGCTAACTAATGGACAGCTTATAATCGACCCAATGAAGGCTTTAAGCTGGCCCAACATAACCCAATAAAAGCTAATTAACCAATTTAAGTAATAGTGAGTCTAGACTCTATAAATCGGATCCAACTCAACATGAGGCCTTGGACCGAACTTATTCCT